TACTTCTGTGCCTACTTGACTAGCTCATTTTTCCGGTTTCCTTATATTTAAACATGTATTCGCCAACGCCAACCTTGTAACTCGCTGTATGCTCTCATCGCATATCTTGCTCGCACTTTCATCAGGGCTTTGGTTCTTCTTTGAGTGTCCCTTGGCACCTCTGGTAGTTCGTCGGCCAGCATTCGCTGCAGCTGATGCCGTGTCATCCGTTGCATTCACTACTGTTGCACCATCTTCGCTCGGCGTACGCGGTAACGATATTCGAAGTGGTGGAACCTGCATACTACGCTCAGGTAAATATTGCAGGAACAAAAAAAAAGTATACAAAAAGACACCACTTCTGAAGCAGTTTCTGGTTCAAAAAATAAATTTTTCACAAATAGCATTCCTGCACGATACACGCAATGAATATCCACATTCAGTCCCTTTACGGTACTTTATTACAGGAAAAAAATGGCGAAGAATGTCCAATGAAATCAAGACCCAAAAAATCTTGGGTTACAAATTCATGTCACAAGCGTTGCACTGACGAGATCCAACTGAACGTCAGCTAATGCCATTTTTATGCAAATGCAAAAAGCCATATTGGTAAGAAGTTATTGGTGTAGGTGTGTGTTGGGATTTTTGGCACCCACATTCAACTCAGCGAGCGCAGAAACTAAGCATCTGGAATTTCTCAGAAAGTTCCCAGCTTTGCTCCACCCAAACAGCTCCAAACCAACGTTCACATACAGCTGGGTCTTACGTATGGACAACTGAACGAATTCATACGAAGTTCTTGGAGCGAAAATGATTTTGGGAACCGGACAAGATGGGAAGCTGAAATCTAGAGAGGGATATTCACCTCCACTGTGTATACTACAGATTTCAAATTCAGCTATCATGAACGCCATGAACGCCTACATCATAAGTATGAATATTCGTTGAAACCAAGATGCTGCTGCCAAAGCATCAATTCGGAAACCACGCTGAGGATAATGCTCTGAACTTAAGAAATATGTGCTGTACATGCGCAAACCCATGTAAAATTATCTTTCGCGTACACCTGTATCATGTCAAAGCATTTACAGCGAAGAGGCAATTTAAGGAACCAATCCAGCTAATACGAATGCACATACTAAACCTAGAGCATCACACACGATTAACAAATATGATTGTTTTATGAGGCAGTGCAAAAACGCATGCTCGCTCCGGTAACCTACGCGTCGCTATTAATTTCG